AAATTAATCATTAATACAAAAATTCATAATTAGTAAACACCCAATAAAATCCAATAAAAGTGAACTTTAAAAATTATTGTGAAACTAAGGCTACCGTTTGGAATATAATTACGCTCACAACTTTTTCTACACAATCAATGCTCTAATAAATATTTGTATATTTTAATAATTATATAGTCGCGTCTTCACTTTACTTTTGAAAGTTTCCCGCTACAGTACTGCATACGATTATTCATTAAATCCGTCGCAACAAAATGGGAACGCTTGGTAGGGTATCAAGAATGTGTTTGTTTTCAAGGAAAATATAGTTTTCTTTTCCTGGAAAAAGATTAAGAAAAACTTACCTGCAAGTAGAAGCCAGTTACTGTTGCAAAAGAAGTAGCGACGGAGGCAGTAGAAAGTGCAAGCTCACAAACATTACAGAAATTGGCCTTAAACTGAACTGCAACAAATTAACAACAAAGAGAGGCCCGGGAAGGCAAAGCTGTTTCTTCACTTCTCGCATAATTTCTCCTCTCCAAATCCTCTCCATGCTTGGCTGCGATTCGTACTCTTCTTTCCCCTTTGCTCCCTCTTGGTTGTTGCCGTTTTATATGTAACAGCCAGAGTAGTAAAATTTCCTCAGGTGATGTGATCCATGTCAACGACAGGTAGTTCAAATGTTCCTGTCTAGAAATCTTAAGATATTCAATCAATAACATGCATCATAAATCACACATGTGAATTTGTTTTTTTCCTGGAATAGTAAGTGTTAATAGATTGAACCAAAACCAATAGCATCCAAGTCCGTACACATACTCCCAGACATGGTGCGGCGACAACTGATCCAAGAGACTATTAAATCATATGATCAGCATCCTAAGTGCAACTTTAAATAAAATTAAACCACATAATAACTTTGGCCTTTGGGCACCTTGAAACAAGAGATATTCGTTTCTTGTTTGTGAAAATTTGACATGTGATTAAAATACAAAACTAGCATCTAACCTAAAATCAATGGATCATTAAGTTAAATGTTCATCTCAATCATTTATTAAATGATGTTGACAAGAGCTTTATATGTGTTTTATTACTTGAGAATAGTTTGTAGGCTGGGACATAAGCATGTATCTAAGCTCTTTTAAGATTGAAGATTTTCTTTTTGTAATAGGGACTTGCAGCTTGCCATTGATTATGGTGCATCAAGCAGATATACACTGTGCAATTGTAGCTTATGATGTTCTCTCTAGAATGCTTATTCAGCCTATTCTTTTTGATTCATCCAGCAGGAAATTGCCTCTATATAATTTTCTGATGAAACACAAACTCATTAATGTGCCCTCTCTGTTTGACATATTTTTAGGAAAGTAATTCTTGACTAGTAGTCTGTTTCCCATGGAATGATGAGAAAAAACTAAGACTTGCACAAAGAAGGCAGCCACCGCCCCTACTTTGGAACTCCGAAATGACATGAGTCGCTTCCCCACCAGACATGAAAAAAACAAATTGGTGGCAAAACAATGAGGAACTTACCATTGCTTTTAAGTGTATGCATAATAATGGAAGTTACATAACCCTGCGTCCTATAAATAGGACTTTTTTTTTTTGCTCAAAAATAGAAAGTTCCTCCACATTCTTCTATTTTTTTTACTTTATTTTATTTTCTAAATATCATGGGATAGAAAAAGATGTTTCGAATTAGATGATTCTATAAGTAATGCAGAATCATAAAATGTAATTATACACCCATAGCATCTTAGAGACGACATATTATATATATCTTAGTTGTACTAGTCGATTTACTCTTTACAAAGATATGAATCACTTTAAAATAAATAAACTTTTTACACCTATTTCAATGATATTTTACCATTGATATCTTTTCATAAATTTCCTAATTATTATTTTATTTTGATCTTGTAATCAAGGCACAATAATGATAGAATTTGAAGATAAGGAGACTCTTCAAGGAATAACATTGTGTGGGCAAGGTTATGACCACA